AGACTAGATTATTTTTAATTAAAGAAAAAGTCTTTCTTTCAAATGATATTTGAAATTCTGTCAAAAGGCACTTGCAATATGTTCTCTTTTCTTAAAATTAATGTGTTATCATGGATGCCAAAGGTGGCTTTCGAAACTCATGGGAGTGGCCGATCCTCAGATCCACAGTGGCTTTCAAGACTTCTTTCTAATTTTTATTTTTTTAGGATTTATTTTAATTTTTTTATGTGTGTGAGTGTCTTCATGTGTGTGTACCATATGCATGCCTAGTGCCAAGTGAGATATAAGGAGATGTCACATCTCCTGGAACTGGAATTGGTGGCAGTTGTAAGTTGTCATGTGAGTGATGAGAAGAGAACTCAGTCCCTCTACAAGGCCAGCAAGTGTGGAGATATCTCTGCACACCCTGGCCTTCTAATTTTTAACAAGATACTTAACAATAGTGTTACACTTTTGCCCCAAAACAACCCTTTTCTCCATCCTCAGAATTGTGAAACCAATAATGCCACCAGCAACTGAGTAGTAAAGGGTTATTTTATTCTTCACCAAGAAAATGACAAGTGAGAAATAAACTTGGAATCAACCTCTCATCCCATGGGGTGGGGGAGGTTGGAAGATTATAAACATAGGGTGAGAGGAGAGGGAAGAGTCATCTGAAAAGGAGGCAAGGGGACTTAACGTCTTACTGGGAATTGTAGAAATTTTGTGGAAATTTATGCAGTACCTCTTTGCTATCTGTGTTAATAGTGGAGTGTGTTCTTTGTTATGTAAATGAGATTGTAATGAAGTTAGATGCTGTGGGGTGGGGATTCTGACAGCATTTTTAGATCTAATGGATCAAATGATGAGCTGACAAGAAGAGAGACTTAACAGCCTACTAGCGTCTATCCTCAAAGATAACAAAGACTAGGGCAGGCAGAAGTTCAAATAAGCTACCTAATCAGTACTCACCAGAGTAACTACATTCTTTAACACCCTCCTTCCCTGGCATTCAGGAGGCAGAAAAGTGCTGGGCTCTGCTCCTATTGGGGTTTTAAAGCCTATTTTTGTGTTATTCTTTCTCATTAGACCCAAGAGCTATGATTCTAACCCTGTATCATTGGCTGTGTGTGTTAAGACTAGCCTTGGAATCCCACCCTGCCTAACTTAGACCCCATTCCCATGTCACTTACATCCAGATACAACTCCAGGGTACTTTGGTAGCTTTAGAAGACTGGTTGCATAACTCTAGAATTACAGTGGTTAATATTTTCAGATGGATAAAGGATTTGTTGTTTAGTCCCTCTTAATTAAGGTAGGCTTAAAGATGTGGGTAACAAAACTCCTATCATTCCACAGGGAGATTCACATAAACTTTTCCTTTTGACTATATAAAGCTAATTTAATAATAGCAAAATAGCTTAGGCAGTATTCTTAAAGCTACTGAGTTCAAAAAATTCTTTCTGTCTACCCTTAGTTATTTACAATTGAAAGACAAGAAAATGATATGTAGAACTGATTTTATTCAAAAATACATGTGTATCAATATAAACTTAGTTTAACTGAAAAATCTAAGTTCATTAAAACCCCAGATAGATTATATAAAATAAAAACTGTCCATATGCTTCTTATCCAGAACAAAAGACTTTGCCATTATAGTAACTCCATGTACCTGAAAAGCAGCTTTTAGTCTTGGACATGAGTAATAGGAAATAGGAAATAGAGAAGTAAGAAATGGGTTCTGACGAAAATTAAGAAACTAATCCAAACTTCCTTACATGTCCTTAGAAAGGGGCATGCCTAGCAGAGTGAATATCAAAAAGTGTATACACAGTCGTAAAATTGATTTATTTTGCAGTAATCAACTCTTTCTCTGGAAAAGCAAGGATACATGGTAGTCTCTAACACTCCATCAGAGTTGTTCATTAGTCAAATCTAAGTGGTTCAAGTTGTTTGGCACTTCTTTAACATGTTGCTTTCTAGACTTGCAACTGTAGACCCTTATTCGAACTTGGATCATCAGGCTTTGCAGAAGGCACACTTCCCACTGAGCCAGCTCACCAGCTACACCAGTGATTCTCAACCTGTGAGTCGGGACCCTTTTGGGCATCTAACAAGTCTTTCACAGGGGTCACTTATTAGATATCCTGAATATCATATATTTGCATTATGACTCATAACAGTACCAAAATTACACTTGTGAAGTTGCAATGAAGATAATTTTGTGGTTGGGAGTCACCACAACATGAAGAACTGCATTAAAGGATCACAGCATTAGGGAGGTTGAGAACTACTGATCTAGACCCTTATTTGACAGAGTAAAAACCTCAGTTAAACCTCCCAGATCTCTTTAAACCGCCCAACCTCATCCTTCTGCTTTATTCTTGGAAGTTACCATTCTATACTCCAATTCTCTGCTGCCTATCCATAAAGTCCAAACTTCTTGATCTACAAAAGACTAACACCACTTCAGCATTCCTTTGTGCTTCTGCATGTCTAGTCACCACCCTTGCTCTGCATCCCCTAAACCATTTGCATCTGCCTGGCATAGAATACCTCACAGCAGTTATGATGCATGTAATAGACAATTTCCATTCGTTCCCCATGCCATTCCCATGTGTGGAATGTACCGTCCAAAAACTGTCCAGTTGTTAAATCTCAGTACCCCCTGCCTGATTTTGGTTTCAGCAGCTAAAATTAATCCCTTCTTTCTGTGAGCCTTCAGTTAGCTCTATTCAGATGTCACTCACTGAAACTCCAGTGCAACTGTGCCTATTAGACCAGATCTTTTAGCCCACATCTCATACATTATTTCATTCTCTACACAGCCTACCCCCTGACACTTATATTACGTCATCTTAAATCCAGCAAGTCCTCTGACCTTCATCTATGCAAAGAACAAATCAAGAGATGAAAAACATCATCAGACATGACTTAGCTCTCACTGTACAAGACAGAACAGAAATAATATAATATCATGAACTTGGATCATAAATAGGAGCTTTGACTGATAAAGTCTAGAGAAATTCATGACCTGCCACCTTGGGTTAGGAAACAAATGATTGGCCCAAGGTTTCTTCCATAACCAATATCTTTATTTCTATCTTGTTAACCAACTAATTAAATGGAAAAACCAAAAGATTCTCTTATCTACAAGTCCAATGATTCTCCTGTTGTGTAACGTTTACCAAAGACAACCTTTCTTCTTTTCCTCTCTTCTCAAGGACAGGAGAATGATGTCAGTGTAACAAAATCACCTCACAATTTGTCAGCTTCCTAGTTATTATTGCCTCCTTCAAGTAAAATGCCTGACTCCTGAGGCAGAATTGCTAGCTCTTTTTTCTGTATTTCCCACCACACTATATACATGCTGTTGTAGCTGGATAAAAGTAATATTAAGCCAGAAGTGGTGAACACAGCTTTAATCCCAGCACTTGGGAAGCAGAGGCACACAACTCTTCTATGAGTGAATTCATTCTAGGCAAATCTAGTCTATTGAGTGAGACCCTGTCTCAAAAAAGTGTAAAATAATACCAGAACATGAAGTTTCAACACTTCAATGCTTAGCACTGAATGAGCATCCAATCAATGACAAATGAGTCTTGGTCTAGTGATATGAAGAGAGTCAAGATTACTTATATTAATTCTAACCCCAAGAATTCCCATAGTATGTAAGGAGGAACCACTATCTGTGAACACAGATTTAATTTCAAACAGTATTATCTACTACATACAATACTGATGTCTGGGGAAGGGGGGCTATAATGAATTCATGTAAACAACTCTCATGGTGAAAAGGAAAAAGGCAATGCAAACAAGTCTTAAACCCCCTGTGTGAGCAGGCTAGTCTTGAACTCCCAACCTTCCTGCCTCTACATCCCAAGGGTTGGGATTACATGCTTGGCTATTCTGTGATTCTTTTTTTTTTAAGTTTTATTTTTAATTTGTGTGTGTGTGTGTGTGTGTGTGTTTTGCCTGTGTGTATGTTTGTTTACGATGTATGCTATGCAAAATACCTTCTAAGTACAGGTATTGCATGTATCAGCACTAATAAAACAGTTCAGTACCTGAAATGTAACTCCAACCTGTGTCATTTTTAGTGATAGTCTTGAAGGCATGTTTTTAAAACTGCTAAGTCTCCACTCTGACCCAGTAGAGTGAGTGAACACACCTTCAATGCTTGACATTACTAGTTTTTTCAGAATAAATTTTTTTTGGCTCTACTTACTTAAGCTTTATATACTGCTGTGACACACATCTATTATATTCATAGGTGATACTTAAAGTGGAAAATTGACTGTAAAACAAATCTGACTTCTTTTTTAAAAAATAGATTAGTAAATTTAGCTTTAAAAGTATATATAAAAGTATATCCAGTGACAAATTATGTGTGAGTGTGTGTGTGCGTGCATATGTGTGTGTGTGTATCACACAATATCAGGATAGTCAAAAGGAAATATAAATAGCTGCTGTCACTGTTTCTACATTTCTACACACACACACACACACACAGATACATACATACAGACAGACAGACACACAGACACAGACATATAGATTCAAGGGCACAAGAAAAAACACTGGACTTGATTTTATGTTCACTTTTGTAGACCCTCATTAATAAATGACACTAGTAAAATAAAGAAACCAGAAATATAGTTTACCTATCAATCTGTGTGAGTGTAGATATTGGTGTTTTTATATGGCACATATGTACACCTAATACCAGAATTATTTCAATCCTATATCTGTTTACCTTTTAGAAAGTAGTCATATAGGCATATGAAAAGCAAATAAAAACACAGTATTAGACTATTCAAAAGAAAATATAAATAGCTACTGTCACTGTTTCTACGTTTCTATACTTTCCGACCAGTTACTCTCAGTAAACTCTTTCAACACTGGTCTCAAAACATGAAAATAATAGTCTTGACTTACTTAAGATTATGTTATTACATTAAAGGCAAAAGAAGATGTGAGCTTTGGTTTCTTTTTAGCTAATTTTCAAACATATATTCATCTAAAGGAGGGAAAACTTTCACTTTAATAATAGTCATTAAATAAAAATGCATTACAATAAAGTTAGTGATCTCAACTGATAAGTCTAACAGCAGAATGACTACAGGAGGAAAAGAACAACCTACATAATCTCCTGTGGCTGTCACCTCAGGTACCACTTCTCTGTGGCTGCTGACCTCTGACAGCCTGTCATGCTTCCAGGTGCTCGGCAGCAGAGGTGCCTGAGAGGACTTGGAAAGACTTTATTCGGCTTACATGGCAAGCACATTGTATGATTCTTAATCGCTCTTTTATCTAGAACACAGTGTTGTGGGCCACTTTTTTACAACAATACTTATACTGTTTTGTGCTCTATAAATATAAACATATTTTCACACAAAATACATACACATTTACATGGGGATTGGAAGCTAGCCAGACATCATCCACAAGCAGAATGGGATACAGATTGCAGGAAGGGTCATGTAGGATGCCAGGCCCGTGTAGACAATAGACGCTAATCCCAAGACAGCTGAAGCAAGACAACTTCTCTGATCACGAATGATTATCTTCACGATGTTATAAAACTGGAAAACAAGAGTTAAGACTGTTAGGAACCATGGCTGAAAGAACCACATATACCACAGACCAAGTAGTCTTCCCAGTTGTTCTGTGTGCACCAGGAAAACTTTATGAAAATGACTTATGAAATAATATGTAGAATGTTATAGAAAACTATAGAATGAGCCTCATAAAAGTTGCTCAGCATTAAAGATTAAAAACAACATTAAATTAATACTAATTTACATAATCTAACCTAACCTAAGAAGAAGTTTCTAAACTCAAGTTTAAAAAAAACAGAAATTAGCCAATTCTTCTGCTTTACTACTCTAAAATTTGATGATACCAATCATATTTTTACATAAATCTTAAAGTCTAAAGACACAGTCACACTGAGTTGCTATATTTTCTCCCTCATCAGTTACGTGTCAGTTATTGACTCCTGGAAATAGAGACATTAAATATGTTTCTCGCTCCTAATGGATGCATTCTACTGTGTCACTTTTTCGTATAAAAAGCAATCTCTCTTGGAAATGGTGCCCTGTGTTTAGGTGTGCTGATTGTAGTATTTGTTGTGCAGCAACAAATAAGACATTTAACTAGTCCAGGCCTTCTTCATTGGAATGCCAGGTTAGCCCTGGAGATAAACTAAATCTTTCAAGTAAAAGAATAGTGTTTGACCTGGAGAGATGGCTCAGCTGTTAAGAGCACTGACTGCTCTTCCAGAGGTCCTGAGTTTAATTCCCAGCAATCACATGGTGGCTCACAACCATTTGTAATGAGATCTGACGCCTTTTTCTGGTGTGTCTGAAAACAGCAACAGTGTACTCACATAAATAAGTAAATCTTTAAAAAAAAAGAATAGTGTTCTTCTATGTATTGCATAAATATATTACACTGATTATTATCACTACTGTATTTCTTGACAGTTTTCTTTATCATTGCTAGAATTTAACAAGTGTCATTTTCATGTGAGTTTTTCTATTAATACTAGACTTAAGATCCTTTTCTAGAATAGTGCAGTATATATGGGAGGGTCTTGCTTTATGCTCATCTTGACTCAGAACTCCAGGGCTTAATGGAATCTCCTGAGCTGGGAAGGTTTCTAAAGTCTTTATTTTCTAAGATTATTTTAATTATTTTTAATTGTGTGTGTGTGTGTGTGTGTGTGTGTGTGTATCTGTGTGTGGGTATGTGCACATGAGTGCATGTGCCCATGGAGGCCAGAGCATCAGAAACACCACACACACACACGCACGCACATCTGGAGCTAGAAACACAGGCAGTTGTGATCTGCCCAAGGTAGGTGCTGAGAACTAAACTTGGATCCTCTGCAAGAGGTGTATGAACTCTTAACTGCTAAACCATCCTGAAAAAAAAATCCAGCCCTGGTTTTTAAATTCTTTGTTTCCCTTGCTTTGAGACAGGCTATCACTATATTATCTCTGATTGTCTGGAACTTTCTGTATAAAATAGAATGACCTTGAATGACAAGAACCTCCTGCCTCAGCCTCTAGGGATTGGGGTCAAAAGAGTGCACCACTGTACCTGGCTGAATTTCTTTCTTTTTTTATTGGATATTTTATTTATTTACAATACAGATGCCATCTCTTTTCTCCATTTCCTCTCCCTACAACCCCCTGTTTCATTCCCCCTCCTCCTTTATGCTTTTATACCATTTTGATTACATGCATGTACTGAGTTCAGTTCTAGGTTGAGGGTCTAGCAATACAATAGATGTACACTGTACCTGGCTGAATTTCTAAATTATTGATGAATACAATAAGCAAGTTTAATACATTCAAGGACCTTATGGGGACTTCTCAGTTGAGGACCAACTACAGACATAGTAGTCTTATAGGATGCCATTACTGTTGTAAGTGTATTCTGTGTACAAGTAAATAACCTAGTGATACATTGAAATGTCATGAAACCAGTTTGACTGTGTGTTTTAGTCCACTATGTGAATGTAAGGTCATCTCTATTCATAGTTTTACATAATACTACATTAACATAATATGTAAATTTACATAATACTTACATTTACATAATATCGAAAGAAAAGTCCGATAGCCTATTAGCCATCCAAGTATTCTTTGTAGGACAAACATCTAATCTCTACTTAACTAACAAGATAGAAAGTAATGAGTGCTTTGTCTTAAAGTGGTTAAAACCAAACTGAATAAGGATGTGAAGATGAAGCTCAGTGACCAGAGTACTTACAACGCTTGAAGCTCTGAGTTTAATTCTCAGCACCACATAAACGAAGCATGGTTAGGCAAACCTATAATCCTGGCACTTGGCTGGTAGAGGTAGGGATACCAGAAGTTCAGGGTCATTCTTGCCTAGGCAAACCTAGGCCACAGACCCTGTTTTTGTCTCTTCTGTGTGTATTTGTACATGCATGTATAAATGAACAGCACCTCTGTCTCTGTTTTCGCTGTCTTTGTCTCTCCTTCTATGCCTTTCTGATTGCCTTCCATTTCCTCTCTTCCTCCCTTTTCCCAGTCCCCTACTATCTATCACTTGGCCATCATCCCAGGAAGTCTGGAAATGTCATTCCGTGGGTAAGATTTACCTAGAATGCAGGAAACCCTGGGTATGGTTCTCAGCATTGTATACATTGGATGTGGTGAGGCAGGACTGTGGGAGGTAGACATAGGAGGATCAGAAGTTCGAGGTTATCCTCCATTAGATTGGAAGTCTGAGGTCAGCCTTAGCTACATGTAGACCCTGTTTTGTTTTGCTTTGTTTTGTTTTGTTTTGTTTTGTTTTGTTTTGTTTTAAGTAGAGAGTAGGAAATGTATAGTAGGTGTCAAGAAGTTTACTTTTGTAAACATTGAGTCACTTGGCAAGAAGTTATCTGCATTCATTCTGGTAGTAACAAGTCAGACAACAGACTGATAGTAGAAAAAGCATAACAAAAGTTAAAAACAAAGGGACTTAAATTTTACAGAATAGTGATGCTCCATGTCAGTATAAAATGGCTCAACTTTATGATTTCTAAGCATGTATAAAAGCAATGCTGGAAGAGGGGAGGAGAAAGAATCAAAGAGTAGAAAGAGTGGGAAGAGTAAATGCTGTCTCCAGGTCACAGCGTCGCTATGAACTCACAGCAGCTGTGGCTGTTTTCACTGATCTAGGACACCACTCCTGCATGCAAGTGGTTGGGAGGCCCTACCACTTCCTGAGGAGACAATGGAAAGTTATTGGGTATGGAAGGAGAGAGAGTCCATTTTTCACTGGCTAGTTGCCCATACTTCAGTAAGTAACCCCCAACCCATGCTCATACAAACAATCCTAACTGCTGGTGATGGTTTTAATAAGAATGACCCTCATTAGCTCATATATTTGAATGCTTAAGAATAGGATGTGTGACCTTGTTGGAGTAGGTGTAGCCCTGTTGGAGGAAGTATGTCACTGAGGGTAGGCTTTGAGGTTTCAAAAGCCCAAGCCAGGCCCTGTGGCTCACTCTTCCTCTGTTTGCAGATCTGGTTGTAGAGCTTTCAACTACTTCTCCAACAACATGTCTGCTTGCTTGGCACCATGTTCTGATCTGAAACTGTAAGCAACCCCACTTAGGTGATTTCCTTTAAAGGAGTTGCTGTGGTCACAGTATCTCTTCACAGCACTAGGACACTGTCCAAGACACTAATTAAACTCAGTGAGTCACATACATAAAACTAGGAAGGTAATTTGTAAAATAGAAATGGGTCAGCTGGAGGAGGAAGGAGATTTTAGTAAGAGGAGTATGTGATCAAAATACATTGTATACATATATGAAATCATTGATAATTAAAAAGAACAACTTACAGAATAAAAGCATTCTCTCAAAGATGGAAAGGCTCTTGTTTGGTGAATTTTTAACTTATTTATTAGAGAGAGGGGGGGGGGAGAGAGACACACACACACATGTACCGCACGCACCATACAAGTACCAATTCAAGAAGCCAACTTTTGGAAGTTGGTTCCCTCCTTCCATCGTGGGATTCAGAGATCAAACTGCAGTCATCAGATCTGAGCAGTAATCACCTGTACCCACTGACTCTTCTCACTGCTCTGCTGGTGTGCACTATTAATAGCAAGAAATTTTTTCCCGACGGAAACTGTTGAAGAAATTTTTATAAAATTTTATAAAAAAAAAAAAAAAGAGAGAGAGAGAAAGAGATGGCTTTGCCATGCTGAAGTAAGATACAATAGCTATGAAAGACTTCAACAATCAGATCCAGAAACAAATAATAGTTTACGTTTCTAGAAATTCAAAAGCCTGGAGCTGGAGAGATGGCTTAGCCATTAACAATACGTGCTATCCTTCCAGAGGTCTTTCTTTACTTCATCCTAGCACTGACCTGCCTGTAACTCTGTCTCCCAGGATGCCATGTCTCTGGCCTCCAAGGGCACCTGCACTTGTGCACATATACAGGTAATTAAAGCAAAAAGTAAAAATCCTTTTAAAAATTCAAAGTAGAAATCATGTAGAACTAATGCCTCTTTTACTTTAAAAAAAAAAATGTTCGTAGAATTAGAACATTCGGGTGAGATTTTTTTTCCCCTGAGGAAATCTAATCTTCTAGACTGGGGCTGATTTGTTTGTTAGGACATTCGAAGGGAAACACAAATTCAGTTGCACTAGAGACCATGAAGCTTCATTAATTATAACACTTCACTGCTGTGAAACATGCCATTTCCCCAAATTAGAAACTCCCCAATTAGTTCTTTCTGTGATATCTAGTCCACTGCTTGTAGAAAGCACCTGTGCCTTTGTTTCTGTTGAGCTCTGTAACGCAGTGCTGCATGTGTGCTATGAAAGGGCAGCTCTCTATTTGGATAGGAAAACTGTTTTTCCTTACAGCAACAATTGGCTTAGTTCTTAGCTAAATCTGAAGTGTCTCCTTTTGGATACTTTTGGAGCCAGTGTTTCTGAATGTGGAGAAGTTCCCCTCTAAACAGGCCTGGGCTAGAAGGGAGATTCTAAATCACTGCATAATATCTTAATTGTATTTTGATGTACCATAGAAAATGATTCCTAGAATAAATTAATTCTGGTTGAATTTTAAAAAAAAATCTGTCAGAAATTTAATATGCCTACATATAAAAGCCCAATAGCTTTATTCTCTGCCAAAATTACTCAATTAATTACTGTCAAAAAATTACTCAAAGTATAAATGAATTAAATCTAGGCAGTAGATTGTGATGACCTGTTCATTTGGATCAAAAATGCATCTAAACCTACAAAATAACCCAAAAGCTTATTGTATGATTGACCAGAATTCCAGTAAGAGCAAATGCTAATACCCCCTGACTTATAGTCAAGGCTGAAATGAAGAGCATCCAATTACTAATGAAAGTGCAGGGTTAAAATATAAACTATCTTTTGTGAGTTAATCTTTTTTCCTTTGGATTTGTAGCTTATTTAACTATCATTTTCTACTACTTGTGTCCTCCCATCCCTAAGTAGTCATAAAAATTATCTTCCAGAAAAATGAATTGTTTTAATCTCTGGGAAACTTAAAATCCAACCTACCTTTGGAACTAGTGTCTGGGAGATGCTTGACAGTGGATGAGAACAGGATATGGGGATTAAAATCACTTAGGAAGAAAGAAGTTACACACCATGGAAAAACCTCCCCAAGTCAAACACAGAAATAAAAGGTGCCTACCAGGAATGTCTCCTAGCAGGAATTTTGAGCCTATTAAATAAAGGGAATTCACTTTGTGCATATAGAAGAGGAGAAAACTGGACACCTTCTTGCCAATTACACTTTGTGGGAAAAGTTCCAAGTCCTTCCGTCTCTTGCCCCTGATCATTTGAACTACCTTGTGTGTGCAGACCAAGATGACTAGTACAGCAGTAACAGGCAGCACTTTGGAATCTGGAAGCAGTCTGTGTGGCTACACCCTTTTTATTGCACATTTTGAAATAGTCTTCCTGCAAGGCAAACTGCCCATTGTTTACCGGATCTCCCCTAGAAACACCAGAGCTACCCTTACTTAGTCTACCACTCCTAAGAATGGTAAGGTTGAGGAGAAGTCCAAAAAGCTCCCGGATCCCGACCCCCAGCTCCTCCAAGTCTCCCTTACCTTCTCAGCCTGCGGACTGATCGGAGAGCCGTATCTGCAGTAGGTCACAAAGTGTTCGCAGTTGTTCCACAGTAGACTGTATGGTCTCAGTCCCAACTGCTGCTCAGCTCTGCGTGCCACCTCCTCATTGAGCAAGGACTTCTTCTTAAGAGTCTCATCTAGGTGATTGACTAGGATGTCTGCTCCATAGGCAAAGTCCTCTACTGTGTCCACACGGATGCTGGCCACCTTGCAAATGACTCCCGGGACGAGACGCTTGTTGGAGACCACCTTCTGAGTGCGTTCCTTGTCATTGGTCAGGGCCAACAGGATGTCGGGCATTAGATGGGCGACACGGTTGTTTCCCAGGTAGATCCCATAGTGGGTAAAATGGGTCCGTGACACCTCCAACACGTCGCCACGGAGAAAAGAGCTGATTTCATAGGGACGGTTCTTCCCTGTGCCTCCTCCCGGAGCACACAGGCTAAAGAGCTTGAAGTTGGAAATAAGGAGCAGCTTCTCCAGGAGGAGGAACGCAGCTTCCAGCATTGGGTTCTTCATCCTACAGCGACCAGAGTTCGCTCTGGCCTCAACTGGTCTGTGCAAGGTGAGCTCTCCGGACCGCGGCGCTGCAGCGTTGCTCACCTGCGGAGCACCTCGGAGCGGGGGTGGGGGGTGGGGAGGTGCCCAGGACCGGGAGAGCAAGAGACTAGAGGAGAAGCCAAGGGCCTGGCTCAGCCACCCAGTACAGGGGGTCAAGTAGAGGAAATAGTGTCGGTCAGCTGAGGGAACACTGGCACCCCCGCTTGAGCTGGAGCCGTAGCGCGCCTGAGGGGCGGTGCTCCGGGTGCGCTCTTCTCTGTGGCTCTTATAGAGGTGCAGAGGGCGGGCCGAATGCGGTCACAGGCTGGAGAACACGGATTGGACACGGGCGTTCTGCACCCTGACTTCTCCTCGAGCGCTCTGCTTCACTAGGTAGACACCCAGCGTAGGAGAGAAGGTGTCAGAGGCGTGGCCGCGCGAAAGGTCCTGCACCTGCCAGGAATGGAGCACTTTTCTTGGCGATGAGAAGTGCCCTCTAAAATTTATGTGTGAGACCAGCTCTAACCGGTAATAATACCGTGGCCCTCAGCTTACTAAAGAATTTGATTCTCCAAAGTTCCTGCTCCGTGAATGCCTGCAGAGCCTACTTAAATTGATCTTTGTCGTTTTAAGCACACGAGCATCCACGTGCTCTCAGGTGACACGCGGAGAAGTGGAATTGCTGGCTGTGCGACCAGTGCCCCAGCGTGGAGGATTGGAACCCTACAGTCTGGTCATTCCAAGACTCCAGCGCCTGTTGAACGCGCGCCTTCCAACGGTCATCAAGAAACCCCAACGCTCTCCAGCAAACAGGAGTCAAGCCAAGTTTTTGGAGTCCGGTCCCAGCTTCACTTTACTCATTGAGTTGTAGCTTTTAGTAAAGCGCTGCCACCAGGGAGACTAAGGAAAGGGAACATTACAGTTCTGCAGGGCGGTGCGCCTGCAGCAGAAGCCAGGCACAGAAAAAGGTGGTGGGAGAGCTCCCTAAGGGGGCTGCTAGGGGGCTGCCAGGCTGGACTCTGGGTGCTCAGACCCGCCTGAATTATGCATTATGTAAATGATTAAATTCCCAGGACAAAGGCCACAAGCAACACAAAACTAAGAAGGAGAAAGTTCTGGGCTAAGACTGAGATCTCCCTCTGCTGTTAAGGAACCTGGACCAGGCTGAAGCCTAAGGCCACCTGCCTTTGGAGGACTGGGCTTTTGCTCCCTACCTGTCTGCTATAAGTGATCTGTCCCTGTCGCTGCACTTTTCTTCATTTGTTCACTTCACAGATGTTTGTAACTCTCACTGCAGCACAACACACACACACACACACACACACCGCTCCACTGCCTCAAACGAATAGGAAGAAGTAGGCATGATCTTCCATCAATCCATCTGCAATCATCTTTTCCTTCATGGGCTACCTGCTCTGTGCCATCCACTGTGCCCTTCCTGGAGGTTCAACAAAATCAATCTGTACTTCTTTCACACACCACCTGTCACTTGTAGTTCTTTTTCTACTTGTCTTAAGGCCAGTGGTCCTCCTTTGACACGCTGTTTTACTGGAATAGTGAGAAGGGGCTAGGAGAGGTACTACAGGTTATTGGGAAGCCACCTGAGTTCTCACTGAAGAGCCCCTAGGAGAGAGCCACCTGCAGAAGGTTCCCTGAGCTCCACATGGGTGCTGTGGCACTCACATTCACACACAGTAATAAAAGCTTATATTTCAAGGAATTTTGCAGAAAAGAAAATAGGCTCGAATGGAAGTTTTTATTGTTATTTCATTTAAGTGGGGATTCCATGCGGTTATATGAACAGTAAAGGTGGTGAGATGGGGAAGAAGAAAACCATATGACAATGAAAAACAGCTTAAATGCTGGGCATGGTGACTCATGACTTTAATCCCGGGACTCAGGAGGCAGAGGCAGACAGATCTCTGTGGGTTAGAGGACACATTGTGAGACCCAGGTCAACCAAGGCTACATGTTGAGATCCTGTCTCAGAAATAGGAAGAAAGAAAACCGGCATGACATACTGGTGGGACGCAGTGGGTTCAAAAGTATGGACAGAGGTAAAATCAGGGCCAAGGGCAGGCCGGGCTTTGTCCACCTGACAGGAACAGAGGAAGGAGATACAAAGTGTAAAGTCTATGCATGGAAAGAATCTGGAACTGGAGGCGTAGCTCATTGGAGCACATGTGTAAGGATCTGGATTCTGTCCCCAGTACTAGAAAAACAAAAGATAACCACCCCCATCTTGTCCTGTAGCTTCTGAAAAAGCTACCAAACCTACTGACTGGTGTTGCCATCCAATAGGGTGCAGAGGCCCAATGTCTGCTGCCAGAGAACTCATGGAAAGTGATGAAGACAGATGGGTGACAGCAGGCCGTTTGCTTACGCCATGTTAACAGAAAAGTGCGAGACCCCTGAGTCATGTCTTCAGAGCACTTGTACCTCGTCCAGGTCTGTTAGAAGGACCGTTATGTCTCTGTTGTTGGTGACAATCAGTTCACGGTTACTAATAGCAGCACTAATAGCAGTACTTCCTTAGGATTGAATGAGTTCCATGGTGAGGTGCTGGTGGAAGAATCAGAGTAATGATAAAAATTATGAAAAAATTGGGCTCCAAGTCAAAATATTTATTTCACTTAGAGACAGAGTCACACTTGTAGCCCTGGCCTTGAAGCCAAAGAGATATGCTTGCATCTGAATCTCAAATACTAAGATGAAAGGCATATGCCACCATGACCAGCAAAATTTTAAACAAAATTTTATTATATAAAATCATTATAATGTTCTATTGTGATACTTAACTATAGAATAAAATATAATTAAAAGTAGATTTCTAAGTATAATTTAAACCTATGTAATATTAAATATTGAGCAGCTAATTCATAAATCACCTTAAGAGACAAAAACTAAATTATACATTTTGCCAACTAAAGGGACTATTTAAGTCTTTATCTTCACTCAGCCTCGTGATGGAGCATTAGATGTAAATATAAACATGTATCTTTTATTGAAAATAAATTTTTTCATATAATATATTCTGATTTCAGTTTCCCCTCCCCCATCTCCCCCAAACTCCTCCTCATCTACCCTCCTACTAAGATCCACACCCTACTGCCTTCCTTAGAAGACAAACAAACTTCTAAATAATAATAGTAGGTAAGGTAAGAACAAACTGGAATGGGACAAAACAGAAAAAAAGTCAAATAGCACAAGACACACACATAAATGTGGAGACATGCACCTTCATATATACAGGAATCCCATGAAAATGCCACTGAGTTGGTTTTGGGTTGGTGCCTACTCCAGGATACAAGGATTGTTAATTTGGATCTGCTTTCACTCTCTTAGTTAATTGGCTACGGGTTTGTCAGTCTTAACTGATTTTCTCAAAGAACCGATTCTTTGTTCTATTGATTCTTTGTAAATTGTTAGTTTTTATTTTATTGATTTCAACCCTGAGTTTGATTATTTATTGTCACCTTCTCCTTTTGGGTGCTATTTCTTATTATTCTAGAGCTTTCACTTCTATTAAGTTACTAATGGAAGTTTGTTTTGATTTTTATGTAGGTACCTTTGACCTGAGTTTCTTATGCTTCCTTTATTCCTATTATTCTTTTTTTTTATTGGATGTTTTATTTACATTTCCTATGTTGTCCCCTTACCCCATCCCCCACCCACCCCGGAACCCCAATCCCCTCACCCCTCCTCCTCCTTCTCTGTGGATGTAACCTCTATCTATTCCCCCCCACTCCCACCTCCCCACCCTCAAAATTCCCACCCCCTGGGGCATCCAGCCTTCATGAGGTCAAGGTTCTCTTCTTCCACCTATGCCCAGCAGGGCCCTCCACTCTTACATATTCAGTTGAAGCCCTGGATCCCCCCCCCCCAAGTGCTCCCAGGCTGGTGGTTTAGACCCTGGGAGCTGTGGTTGGTTGGTATTATTGTTCTCCTCATGGTGCCGCAAATCCTTTCAGCTCCTTCAGTCTTCACTCTAACTCCTCTATTGAGAACCCCATGATCA